CATTTTTGTATTAAATTGTACATAACCATAATCTTTTCAATATCCATGGTCCATGGACATAGTTAGTACATCATAGACCAGATGGAATATTTGAAATCGAAGTCATACAATTTATAAATAATAATAAATAAACAACCCAAGACAATTAACACAGCGTCATCTAGTCTCACGGCAAGCAGTGCTTGTGTTATAGGTACTAGTACAACTGATATAAATACTTAGATATATATTTTTGTATATATATAATATACATAGAAAATACCCAGCCCGATATAAATTATAATATTCATGTATACAAATGTTTGCATGTGTGCTAAGGCGCTAGACCACTGAGGCCGTCAAAGTAATAATACTAAACTGCATGTGTTAATGTAAATAAAACATATTTAAAGTTAAATAAATTCTTTACTTGCTACTTATTTACAAAGAAAATATTTAATGTAGTACATTACACTATATTTACATAATGTTAACCAGTAATCTTGGCTTGCAAAGGGAACAGTTATGAGGTTAATATTTTCTGTTCACATTACTTATTTATGCAGAGAGCTACTGTAGCTCACTAAGAAATGATAATTTTTCGTAAATATCATTAATATAAACACAGCATCATTTGTTTCATTCAATTGATTACACTGACATCTACGAGTATTTGACATAATACAGTTGATGTGTGACATAGTTTAAATAATATTGTATTCGTGTACCAAAATTTACATGAAATGTACATATAAGTATGTAATTTTCATAGTCTTTACGTTTTCATATCACATCTGAAAGTAGTAGATTTAAAATAACAAAATAATTAATCTATAAATTACTTTAAGTACAATTAAAACATAACTAAATACTTGCATTATTGAAACCATTGCTTTTAATTCCACAGAATACGTTGGAACATTTATTTCGAATGAATTTATTTACTATTACAATTGGAATTCTGTTCAATTCGGTAGCGATATAAAAAAAACGTAAAAGGCATTTCGATGAAAATGTAAAGAATAATTTCAATATCGTTTTAACAATTCGTAGTAATGCAAAACATTACACTGGAGTGCTTCCCCTATTTTATAATAAAATAAACTCATATTATATTATTGTCTATTTTGTGAAACATAACATAAAAAAAAACATAATACATAATGAAATATGCTTGTCCATTGTTGGATGACAGAGATAACAGATTACTATTATACTTGATAAAACTACTTTATTTAATTTCATTTGTGGAATTTTAATACACAGTTATTAAGCATGTAGAAAACTTTATTCTACCTTTTACTTTTACCGTACTTACTTCCGTTTTTATTTTCAGTATTACTAAGAATATAAAAAATCACAGAGTGCTATATTAAGCATAAATTATAATGATTGTATATCCTTTGTATATGTAGGCAACTATGGATATGTGCTTTATTTTATTACGAGTTGTATATATTTAATCTACAAAATATAATAAGATTTATATCAAGAATATATCAATAACGACTTACAAGAGATGAGTATATGATCAAATAATAAAATATTAATTTTCAAATAAGCATTTAGGTAGAATAAATATCAAACAAAACGTTCTAAGTACTTATTAATGACAGTCAACAGTATATTATAATAATATTGGATATAATACGTAGATAAGTACCTACTTTGTATATATTAATAATTTATATATATACAAATATAAATCTATCGGACGAAGATTATGTCCCATGGTCATTACTTTCAGAGTTTGAGTTATTGCTCGTAACACCAACAAACTGTACAAATGTTATTGGCAAATATCGGTTATGCCACATGACATAGTTACGAAGAAACAAGTTGATAGGTACCTTATTTGTTCATTTTATTTATAGACATATAATTAAATATATGGTGAATCCGTAATCAACAAAATGTATCAAAAATTATATTTGTTTTGTTGAAGTCAACAAACAGTAAACTCAATATTTTTAAATTATATTAAAGTAACGATTATTTGGTCAAATCAAATAAAACCGAACCGAATCGAATGAAGTAGAATTTGTAGCAGGAAATGTTATAATTTTCGGTCGAAATTCAGCTGTTGTCATTGTAGACTCCAAGGTTTTGAATTTGAAGTTTTACTTCTACTACAATCACTCCCTTCTTGGTGTTGTCACAGGCACAAAAACTGTCACAAATTAATATTTGTTGAAATGCACCTCTGCCATATTCAATATCCAAAGTATTTTTTTTTAATATTGTATATAATACAAACTATATGTATAATAAACCAAACATTGCTATAGTACATATTTTAATAGTTTAGTCACATCACGTAATTACATCAAAAATTTAATTTACAACATGTATTTTGTTGCGTTAAAAACATATGTTGTAAAAAGAATTATTATTCATATTTCAATTATGTTTACTATAAATTACAAAAAGATAATAATAAAACAAATATAACGTAAGATTTAATTACATTCGTGGTCTAAATTGTTCGATAGGAAAATGGTGAATGTAAGTAAACATTTTTATAACGGCTAAACTTTCTTGCTTATTGCTTCACCAAAACATTTTTCGCACATGTTCTTTATTTATTTTACTGCTTTTCTGTTCCAAATATGCTCCGTTATTATTTTTGTTTATTTTTAGTCTTCTGTAGATTTCTTTCGTATACATACTTACAAAATATGTCTGGGGAAATAAACGCCGCAAATATTAGACCTAAAGATGTTTCGAAAAGGAATTGAAAAATTATGCTATTCCTTCTGAAACGTAGTGAAAATTTCAAAGTACAGGTTTAAGACGTGTCTAAAGATTAAATTTTTCATCCTAATAAAGGGTGAGATGGCAGAGAAATTGACTGTATATTGACGTATCACACAAGGCTTTTCAATACGCGAATAACATCACTGATATTGTAAGCGTTAAATTACGACAGTGGTTTTTTTCCCAGCAGGTTGTTGATTGCCAATACCAATTTCATGAAGCAAAAAAATATAGAAATATTTTCGCAATTTTGCATCAAACAGGTTACACAGATATTTTTTTGCCGTTTCTTTTTCAAGTAAATAGTAAAATATGTGTGGATTGGGATGTCACATGTGGACCGGACATTTGGAATTCATTGCAAACGGTGAGATATGGTGACTCGGTAACAAATCCATAAAAAATTCAAATCGTATTTACACATGCCTACTTTCACAGGTGTCTGTGTCTACCTGGACTCAGAAATACTAGAAATGTTTTTTTTAATAGATCTCTGCTTTCCGTGTAGATTTTCGTTTTCAATGTTTTTTTACTTTTTAAGAATATATTGTTTCACGAAGTAATATTTGACTCGTTGGGGATTGTTGTTCTTGTGATTTGAGTATAATACCAATAATACCTAAAATTCTAATGAACTCTAATAATGCATTAGAGTTCATTAGAATTCTAGATATAACAATAAGATTTCTTCAAAACAAAAGTAAATAACAATATCAAAAAAATAATAAGAGAAGAATTTACGGTTTACTTAAAACATTAATAAAAAACGGTAAAGTATTGGCAGAATAAACACGTAATAAATTAAAAAGTAGTCCTCTTATTTTTGAAGTTCATAAAAATAGAATAGTGTCTAGTCAAAGAAAGAAAAGGGCATAAAACTGGGGTCGGGGTTGGGTTTCATTAGCAAAAGAACAGTTTTTCTGCTGTTCGTTTTAAATCGATCTGACAAGTGGTGTTGAATTTAGGTTAACGACTACTCATTGACCTGAATTCATAGCCTACAAGATATACGAGTAAATGCTTATATGTATACCAACAAACATAACCCGTAATATTTTTATTCATATTCTCTTCTGATTTACCAAAATTTTTAATTTTGTCATGTATATATTTTATATGTTTATATTAATATTATTCATAGATTTAAAAAAATCTAATTATTAATCTACCTACTTATATGATGTATTTAGTCTCTTTTTTCTGAACTGCTTTTTTATTTGAGTAAAAGTCACAATACTTTTAGTTTTAATACATTTTGTTTGTTTATTTATTAGATTATAATGTAAAAATAGATCGGTGAGAACGGCGAAAATTAAAACTCTTAAATTCAATATTTATAATACCGACTCTACATTGAGGAATGTAATACTAGGCCTGGCTGAGCTGTGAGATTATATTGGTTGCCATCTTCAAGTAAAATACATTGCACGTAATGGTGACAAGTCAGACGATTCGATGGAACGCTTGACTGCCCATCGGGGATTCCAAGATCAAATTCCCGCACAACCAATATTATATAAAAAAACCTCAAGTTCCCTACTACATTTCTTTCAATGTGTTCGATGGTGAATTGTTGTTACAACTTTTAATATAATTATTTAATAACATATAAAAAAAAAACATTGAGTATATTGATAATTTGTTTAAATAATGTTTTTTGTTTTACTAGATTATTAAAAGGTATAAGTGTCACTTCATTTATTCACGAATATACATTTGGTTTTTTTAAGTCTATATCAAAATTCTAGGAATTTAAAATTCATAATTAAAAAAGTAATTTAACCTTTGTAACCTTTGAGCCTTCATCGAGCTAATTACGCCAGAGCCATAACAGAGGTGACCTACCAACTACACCTTTATTATAATGATCACGTGGTATTGATATCAGTAATCTCAGCACAAATAATGTACTGAGATTACTGATACGTTTTATCGTTGTTTCCCTGGTCTATTAGGTGATAAAAGCTCGTCCTTTTCTATTCCATGGTACAGTTAATAATAAAATAATGCAGTATTAAACTGTTTGTAAAGTTTAAAAAAAATATCAGTAGTACTATATTCTTATACAATTAAATATAATATTATATTATTGAGCAATTATTTAGTTACCTAATTTGAATTCAATTCAATTGCTATAGATATTACTATTAAATTTTTTATCTCAATATTAAATTGTAACAAAGATTGTTTACAAATATAAATTTTCATTCATTATATACAGATATACAGAAAGATGATAAAGTTTATACCTATTACAAGAGTGTTAAAAGGATTACCTTATTATGTTTCTGAACTTGGAATAAACATTCGAGACTAAAACAGTCAAAAAATATTTGATAAATATTCTTTATAAATTTGGGGTGAGGTTCTTATAAAAACATCAAAATAATATTTAGAACCACTGCAATAGGTACAGCGCTAGGCGTCACAATTAATTTCGGCTTCGACAAAACTAATGTTCCTTATAAAATACAAAACTAAACTAAACTATACAGTTCTCTGCCTTTTTCTGGGTCTATCCGCTCCACTCACGATTTTGATGAGTCTCACGGCTGGTGCTTCGAATGATATCGAAATAGCGAATGATGCCAGAAATGCCATCACTGCATATCCGGCATATGTAATAATCTGCAAATAAAAAGAAACAAAAAATATAATCATAATGTAGTGGTTTACTAACTCGATCTGAAAATCACAAAATCGAAGCAGGCTAGCAGCAAAAGCTTTGTGTCCATTTAAATTTCTAAAATACTGATAATAAAGCAAAATTAATCCGAGAGACGGCGCACGCCGCGTTGACACATCTCTAGTAACACGAACTTTTACAATACAAAATATAAAAATTAAAATCAATTTCCGACTGATCACTGTTCTATTCTAACGAACTTGATGTTCTGTAACGTTTCAAAATTGTGCATATATTGAGAGGCCAACTCCAGGTGACTTGGACTCAAAAGATTATCTTTGAAATGCGGGCCTGCAAGTGTTGGGTAAACCACAATTTCGAGAATTGATAATGCATAACACGATAGTTAAAAGAATTTTGTAATTTTTTAAAACAGTCGTATGATAATCCTTCCTTTTTTCTGTTAAGAGCTCTAAATTAGAAAAAAACAGACTTTATAAAAACCTTAGTCTCACATACATCAGCTGTCAAGCACCTCGTTTTGTAAGATGTGTTTCGATTGCAGGATGAGATAAGCAGTGAAATTCCAGGATATAACATTTTTGGCATAAGTGGTGTCACGGGCGTCAAGGTTACCACTGCGACTTGCCACCAGGTGGACTGTCAGCTTGTTGACCATTCCAATAACATAAAAAAGTCTTTTTATACGTCTATTCTGTTAACCTATAAAGGCTAATCCAATGAACTATAAATACTTGTATAGACGTGCTGATATATATTACCATAAACCTAGTTCGTGCTAAGAATTTTTGTAATTATACCGAGTGGCGAGTAATTTAGCTGCTGAAAGTGTCTGAACAATTTATTAAAATTTTAAATGACTGTCACCGGTCGGTGACAGTCATTTAAAATTCCTACTCTATCTGTGTTGACGCAACTTTGATGAAACATTGTAAGTTGTAAACACAATATTTCTATTTATGTAATTCACTTTAATTACATAATCGTATGAGGTAGAAAAGTTCGAAGGCTCTTACTTCAATAGATAAACCAAATCATGTTAAATTTCAAAATGAAATATAGAGAATAAGATATGTATTGTTATGTAAATGTTAGTGAGCAAAACACTATTATGCCAAAGGTTAGATCCGCATGGTGTGAACGTGATGCGTTTACAGTATTGATGAGATGAATGCTACAATATCAACTGCTATTGATATTCAATCAACTTTTGTTCAATCCACTGTGATAAAGCCAATATTTGATATTTCTATATTGCTTTGCCGTGAAAAAGAACGGTAAGTTGAGAGGTGTAGGTGTAGGTGATATATGTCTGATATGTGTATGAAATATAATACTTCGATGAATTTTATAGGTAGATGAGCACTTGAGGGAATTGAATATTAGATGAGTTATAACAAGATATACTCCTAATCGATTTTGCACTTATAGTTTGAAGTAGGGTTGCGACCGATAAGTGAATAGAATGTCTGGAGTTTTTAATGCTCAGCCCGCCTGATTTAAATAACGATAATTATTATCAACTAAATTAATTTACTTATATAATTCTAAAATAGTCTTCTATTATTCTTGTTACTTATCGAAATGATTTAAATTTGCGATAAGATGCCAGTTTACTATTAATCTTAATGAGGTCACACGTGTCTCTCTGTCACGTACCAATTTTTCCAAAAATCGTTGAGTGTAGATGCTTACTAATATTTACTAAGTCCAATATGTTATTATTATATTGTTTACAGATGCCTACAAGTAGCTCCCTTATAAATGTGGTTGAACTTCGTCCGTATTCGTTAATTGTTCCTTCCTGAGTACGAGAACATCCGTCACCGTGCAGGTTAGACATACTTAATCTAATGACCAAATGTCGGATACGTTGGTTCTACAGTGTTTCTTACCTAAGTAATTACTTTATATTGCATTTATATATAAATGGTGCTTTTTATTAGAACAAATATACATGTATATTAATTGATTGATCTATGGTCTGAAAACATCTATACATTTTCATGATAATATTAGATTAATTCAGTAGCAAAATTATGTAACAAAGTCATTATTTTATGCTTCTATCATTTGTGATAAATATAATGATAAAGACTCCTTACGGTTCTATTCACATAAATAAACAGTATCTATTTTGGAAACTTAGTGATTCTTTCTTAGTGAATACTTATATAATGAGTTACATAGGTTATTCAAAATATAGAGTTTCTAGCCCCAGCCGCATAGGCTATGTGTCTGCATCTGATAATGTAACAGAAACAAAATACCAATTATAGGAAACAACAACGAGATATCGTATCGCTAAATAACGATCTCTTCCAGACAATATTATAATGAAGATGAGTAATTAGCCTTGTGTCTGGTTGAGGCCTAATAACACTAACAAAAATAGGAAACAAGAACATGAACATTACAATTTTATATTGCATTCTTACCAAGATGGACTTTGTAATACAGCTATTAAAAAATTACGGAGACATAAAGTCATAGTTTAACCTCCCTTCCTCTCCCTAAAAATCGCCCTCTAATAGTAAAGCACGAGGATCGTTTGACGACATGATGATGTTAATATAGTTCATACCTGAACTTCTTTAAAGTGATAATAATTTTAACTCCGTAGTGGATGTCTTGTTGGTCGCTCAAATAAATAAAATAACGAATAAAGTAGTTCATATGTATAGCTGACGATTACTACTTACAGTATAGTATTATACTATTTATAATTAGTACACGTTATTTAGATACCTAAATAACGTGTACTTTCTCATTACCTCTTGATATATACATTTTTTATTTACATTTTAGAAAATCGTGAGAAGCAGGAGGGAAAAGGAGATTGTTATTATTCAATTTAAATATATGAAACCGTTTTTGTTAATTAATTCTATTTTATATTACAATTGTATACATGTACATGTTAATTATTAAATAGCAAATTCTGCCGCCATTCCAATTCTCTCAGAGAGTAGTATTTAGGCACATTGAAATCGATATCTAGCTACTGTTTGCTTTACGATTTTTGAGATCTAAATATAAATTGTTATGTATTAATATTTATATTATACTAAATAAAAGATTATTCCATTCGGTTATGGTTATTGAATATAATATCATTGAGAAGTATAAAAGTGAATAGAACAAAAAGTGCCTCATATCAAAACATTGTTTAGGACAGTTTAGAAGCCGTCGACCACAATACCCCGAAATTAAACGTAGATCTCAAATTTGCATGTTTTCCTTTACACTGCGCAATTTTCGAGTTCGTCCCTGTTCATGTCACCCAGGAACGGAGATTTATGGCTGCAATAAAGACTGTAGTTTACACAGTCTACGCCTGGAGATCTATGGTCCGGGCAGGATTACTTACTGTTAATCGAAAGTGAAATGTAAAACTCCATGGTTCTAAAAGTAAATATTTTAAAAAAGATAGTGACTTTTAAAGTTACTAAGCCTCCATTTCTACAATATTATATAATCGGTATATACTTACTAACCTTACACAGATTAATATTTATAACTAATAAAACTGAATGAAGGATATTTATTATATATTTTTAATAACGACTAAATAAAATATAATTATTACCTTAAAATTACTTTTGGTTCATGTGCCTTGTAGCATAAAAAGAAATAAATAATTTTCCATAAAGTACTAGGAAAGCATTACTATATAAGAGGTGACAATACTGTGTTTGTGTTTTCGTTACATAAATATGTATTAAAAAACTGTTTCAAACTTGTAACATCGTTAGATATACCTAGAAGTAATTTGGGATGGCATGATTAGTAGCACGTGCTAGTCAGTGTATAAGAAAACAGTCGATCATGATCCATTCGTTTCATCAAAAGGAGGACATGCATGTGTGACGAAATCATAAAGGTCACGGTTTGGCATTTGGTTTATAATTATTCTATTTTTAGAGTTCTATAACTTTTATAATACAATTTGCTTAATAATATAACATTAACTAACAATTAAAAACAGTACGTGGTCTGTGACGCAGTAAAAATACAATTTCACCGTTCCATTTCGTTCCAAGTTTGTCATCAGAAATAAAAAACAGAATAAAACAGAAATGCATAGAGTATCTACCTGAACCACTAATTTATATGACAAACGTTGTTTTGCCATATAAATTAAAATATTGCTATGAAATAATTAAGACTGAATCTAGAAAGGCGAAAATTTAGGGTTGTATATATTTTTCAATGCTAAATCATAATAAAATAAAAATAAAATGTTATGTGGAAGAAATAAAAAAAAACATTGAGGTGGACAACCCTTTCACTTAGGGGGTATGAAAAATAGATAGTAACAGATTCTCGGATCTACTGAATTTGCATATAAACTTTCATAAAAATCGGTCAAACCGATTTCGGAGGAGTACGCTACTAACATTGTGATACGAGAATTTTGTTCTAAGATAAACCTCACAGTCATTGTAGTCATAGCACACATCCACCTGAAAAGTGACTTTTAATCATGGATTATTTCCGTCATATCTGTGGTAATAATGGAAAAAATGTGAAAACAAAATACTCAAATTATCAGTGACTTGGGAAATTATATTTCATTATACAATAATAAAATTATTTTTATATTAATACGACTATTTATTAAACTAATTTATTCTCTATTGAAGTAGGCACCTAAGTTCAATTAATATTGTAATACAGTTTAAAGTAAACTATTAAATCTAAGTGGAATATTAAATTTTGAAGTAAAACTTATTTAGTTTTGATTAATGAATTTAAACCTCGAAGGCAACGTCAATATTTACACATTAAATATAATAATTATCCATTGGGTTATCATAAAGTAAATCTTGTATTCTAAACACATAACGACGACAATATTGAATTAAATATTTTATGACGAACCTTCTGTGGCAGTTAAAATTTTATTTTTCCCTAAACAAATTATATTCAGATCGTTTTCAAAGAATTTATGGACAAAAGAAATTTATACCAAATAAGAAATTGCCGTTATTGCCGTTATCCACAAATTCTTTTTGATATCGTAAAATATTTTCAACACAGATCTGCGACTACGTTTATTCTCGCCTTTTCTAGATTTGGGTCTGAAGTACTATTTTAAACTTTTTGGGGAGGAAAGTACCTTTAATTCGAATTTGTTAAATAAAAAAACTCTTATTCTAAATATAGTGGTTTATAATGCTATCATAATTATAATAATTAGTAAGGCCGCTAAGTATATAAATCCCCATATTATGCAAAATTAGCATAATTATTGCATTTCGTATTATTTGTTTAACAAATTATTTGTTTGTGGTTGTACAAATGAGCCGATCGATGTTGTAGAAAACATCGACGATTTCGATATGATAAATAAAAAATATTTATCAACATTACGAATTGAAGCATTGCTATTTGTGACGTAAATACCTTCGTCTCTATGAAAATAAATAAAATTAAGCATGTATGTAAGTCATGTACCTGTGGCATTGATTCAAATCAATAATACATTAAAAATGAAAGTGACAATCTTATACCAATAGAGAATTCTTCTACACAAACTTTGGAGGTCAGTTTTTGTAAGAAATAATGGACGCATAAATAAATATGAAAACAATACAATAGGTACTTGCATTATTTTTATTTATATTAAATATACCATTAACTACTCTATTCTAGAAACTATGGAGTAGATTGTCATGAATCGGTAGACTGCATGGGTATCTATGTATATGATAAATACAATAATATTTTTATAATATATTATATAGCACATGTAGCTGTATGAACACGAACAAACGTATCTAATTAATTACTAATTTTATAAAATTGTGACATGAAAGAAGTGTCTCAAAATTATAAATAAAAAATCACTCAAAGGTGACTGACATAGTGATCTACCAACGCACAGAAACCACTGAACGGATCGGGCTGAAATTTGGCACGCAGGTAGATGTTACGTAGGCATCTGCTAAGAAAGGATTTTGATTAATTCTACCCACAGGGAGATAAAATAGGGGATGAAAGTTTGTATGAAACTTTGTCAATTTTAAACCGATCGGGCTGAGACTTTGCATGCATAAAGTTACTATGACGTAGGCATCCCCTAAGAAAGGATTTTGATAAATTCCATCCCTAAGGGGATAAAATAGGGGATGAAAGTTTGAATAGATCTTCTTAGATTTTCGACTGATTGAACTGAAATTAAAGATTGGAGCTACTGCGATGAAAACGTTCGCTTAAATAGGATTTTGATAAATTCTAAAAATTTCCCCATGGGGATAAAATAAGGGATGATGCAGGATGTAAATGTATTAGTTTGAACCTATCAATACCTAATGGAGCGAATAAATTAAGACGAACAAAATAATTTTTAGTTCTCTAGGCTACTTTTATTTTAGAAAATTAAAGTTAAATTCCACGCGGACGATGTCGCGGGAACAGCTAGTAATTAATAAAATAGAAGATCACGAGGGTCTGCCGCCAACAAGGATTATTTACTACTACTACTTTAATACTCTTAATATGTCACAATTCATTGAAGATGCGACTGTGTATTGATTGACCTAACTTTTCTTCTATTTTTTTTTTAACTACGAGTATAATACAGATTCATATACTTGTAATTATAGCATTACACGTTAATAACCATAATGTTTCTCTTCAGATAGGTACGCATGTGAGTCAGAATGATAAGTAATTTTACATATATGCTACTTACAACCATGGTGTTCTGCAGGTGGAGTGGTCCATCGAGGTGGAAAGTTGAGATCACCATGATAGTGGGGTGGATGAGGTAGGCACAATAAGTGAGCCTACTCAGTGGCAAAAAGCCGCGGTACGACAACGCTGAGTTGATCAACCCTCCGTAGCCGCAACAACATGCGATGGCCACCCAAGCCAACGCCGCGCCCCAAGCTGGAACCAGATGTCATTCTATTAGATATGTATAATATAATTTTATATTAATTATTCAAACGATTGACTAATTTTTGTACTTCTCTGAAAAAACTATTTACATCTGCACTGTAATTAACATCGTGAAAATTTATTTACGAGCATAGAAATTCCCAATTAGAATTTATCATTCACTGCACACTGAGTCTATATATGTACAAAAATTTACTGGATTATTATATCTAGTTCCTTTGGTGTATTAAACATAAAATTATGGTATAATATTAGAATAAAATAATTAAAGTTTAATTCTTTTTTAAAGTATGGAAAGTGGAATAGGACAAGTTTCCGAATTTATTTGTATTTCGACAACTACTTTTGTATATATTAATTAATTAAAAAACAAAAGGGTGATGTCAGTTTTCTTGTTCATGTTTATAGGTGATAAATAGCATTTATCTATTTGACATTACGGTTGTGTAAAAAATGTCGAAACACTCATCTTGACGAGATCCATATATAATAGAATGAGCCAAAAGATGAAAACTTGGTAAACAAATAATACACGTTTCTGACCATGAAGAAGCAATTTAGTATAAATTTAAATAGTCCCGCCAACTAACTGACCATGGTCAAAACATTCACAAATGATTATATATATAGCTTGTATTTTATTCGCAATGTGCAATATAGCGCTGCATACAAATTGTTCATTTTAGTTCATGGATATCAACTTAGCAGAATTTGTTTTATATTTTGAAATATTTTGATTGTAACCTTCATTTAGTTATAAATATATTATTTAAGAATAATATTACAGTAGTTATGCTTTGATTAATTTATTTCAATTGGTATAAGCATAACAAGTAAAAAATATTGTGGTTACATAGCAGAAGTGCATTAACTATATTTTTTTGGCTCGATACACAGTACTAGCGATGACCAATTCAACTTGTAGGCAAAATAAACAAATTTTATTGAATTTCTATTGGTACATTATTGAATAAAATATGCTTTGTCTGGAAACAATATAATTAACATAAATACAGGGCTTCAATTGTGACTGCTTCAGTATCTAAGGATTCTTAATTAAATTAAAATACAAACATAATGAACATTTTTGTCATTTATGCTAGTAGCTAGATATTTGTATTAATATTTTCAAAGTAGAATCATAAAATGTTATAAGTATCTAATTAAATGTAACATTACATATTTTATTTGCATTAATATCTAGTTATACAATGTATTTATTAAAATTTCTATTATTAATATTATAATTAAAGCCTTGTGTTGACTAAATGCTGGCCAAATAATAAGTAATTAACGCTTAGTTCTCTCTAAACTGGTTATTTGTTACAGTGCCAAGTGTAACAAACAAAAAACTCACTTTCACATTTACTGCATTGTTAAGGATTTTATGTATTCATATACATATGTATTTCTATGTGTGTGTTTAAATGTACATTTACTTGGAGCATAGCAATAATGTAGATAAATATTTAGGCACAAGGTAATGTGTGCTGGCGCTGAGTAGGTTTGCACATTTACTATTATGTTTCTAATGGGGCTTCATGAATATAATATGGGACCTGCTACTTCGTGCTAGAACTTTTCATCGAACTACACTCTTACACTTTTCGTGTGCCAAATTGCTCCTTAGTCTATATTATATTCATGCTATTCAAATTTAGGTTTTTTCGAAGGTAAACTATTATGTACTTTTATTAAGTTTTCTTTTTATTTTTCATTTGACTTAAGAAGATTTTAGTTCTTATATAATATATAAGAATATGGGGGTTCTCATGAATAAAGATGAATATGAATGGCAACATAAAAGGGATACAAACGGATATCACATGACGACAGGATGTCCATGGTGCTGACGGTTGGCGTTTACTTTTAAGTGGGCGTTCTCAATTGTTATTCTATAATAGTTACGTAAAAAAACGAATATTTACCGCTATGTCCAATGCTGACGTAAAAAGCAGTGGGCCAAACTTCAAAGTAGCCGTCGACCATGCCAAAAATGAGACTGCCAATGATGGCGAGAGAAGTTATCCACCCGGCAGCTACCAGCCAGTACGGTATCCTCACTTGGCATTTCGTTTTGTGCAAGTACCATCCCACAATCATACCTGGAAATACAAACAGCTTTATTAAGTATCCACCATTGGAGTTTATACGATGGGAATAAGGGCCAAAAGCTCATAAATTAATAAAGAAAAAAACCTAAGTATCTACAATTAAATAAATGATAAGTTTATTAAACGAATGTCATTCAGATAGTAAACAACAAATAACAATTGATTCTGATAAAGTTAAAAAACTTGTTGTGGATAGAAAAAATGGAGAATAAATAATAATAAAATCAAGTATCCTTATAGGTATATGTCATTATTTAATTTAACCGTCTACAAATACTAACACAAATATTAATTTAGTAAATTCAGGCTATTTTTAATTATTTCGTCAACGGTTTTGTATAAGTCCATCGATTTTTATAAATTGATAATGTAATAGGCTGGCAATGTACCTAGGTCAGTATGTGATAAAAGAATTTAAAGCTTAAAAGTTATCTGGAATGAATGGACGGTACTCTGAAATTATCGGATTGCTCAGCCACCCATTTGCTTTCTGCGGGGTGCTTTTATGACGGGCTCACTGACCTACAAAAGGGATATCCGATACGTTCTCACAAGCTACCACAGCTTTTTTTTGTAAGAAATCGATGAGGATTGTAGCAAGTTGGCTGTTCAAGGGTTATGTACGGTTCCAAAGGGTTATAGTTATAGAGAGTAATCTTTATCATCGCCTTACCGACTAAATAGGGACCAATTCTAGACCATGGCTTATCGTAAAGTGCGTCGAACATTTCGAAGGGTTCCTGTATTCTCGCTTTATATTGATGCCACACTGAGATATAAATAGTCGTTATCCACGAGCTCACCAGGACCACACCCAGTGATATTGATGCCAGCTTTGGATGCCTGCAACAGAAATATATTTTATCTATTAAATTAAAGTTTCAAAAACCAAAATATTTAATACATTTTTTTATGGTTTTATTTTATTTTCTCTTTCGTTATATTCTTTTGTAGTAAAATGCAAACGTAACTAACATAAAGCGGTCATCTTAATAATTATTTTTATTATGTTACAGTGGTTTACGAAGTATTAGTGCATATTTTGTACTTGATAAAGTACTACCACATTGAATAACTTCTAACATAAAAACACATTGTGGCAGTAAAACTATATACTTACTTTACTGATAGTAATAAAATTATTATGCCAACCACATAAAATTGTGTATCATTTGCCATGTACCAAGACCATACCATGCATATCTCACGCTGGGGGTACAAATTGTTGATATATAGCAAATTCCTCCACCAGTAGTTGTCGCACGTTATGTGATCTATAACTGCTGGTTCGAATACGCCCTGATTGTACACATAAGTAAAGGAAATTTGCGTCAGCCAAATTACGAAAGCATATGCTGGTGTCAGTCTTACAATCCTATATGAAATTAACACAAAGAACGATCTAACGACATTTAACATTTCTCTTGTTGTGTACGCTTTGTTCTTTGGTTTGTCGAGCAGATCGTCTTTGAACGATTGTTGGCTTATGACGGAGATCGATAAAGCTGAATTGGTGAAACCGTTGAGATTTTTGTTCGCATCTTTTTTGTCGGCTTGTATTTTTTTCTTCTTGTCTTCAGTTCTCAGAAACAAGACTGTTACAAGTAAGCCACTGAAATTAAATAATTTATACTATAAATCCTCTTAATACAGATAATAAAATGACAATAAATTAAATATTTTTATTAATTATCATTCAAATTATGAAATATCAAACCTGATGAAAAAGAATGAATCCACACAATAAGATGCGTTACCAACGGATTGATACATTAGGTTTCGTTCGGTGACAACTCTCATAGTCTTGTTATCAGCTATATAAAACACTGTAAGGTAAGTGTGTACCATAATTACCCAAGTCACTGATAGAAATCTGAAATGAAAATAATTATTATTAACAATGAAATAATAACATGTGCACAATAAATACTAGTTATTTTTAATACCTTATCCCATGTAAACTGGTAAGAGCTCCATCACTAGCTCGATGTATACTGAGAATGGTACGTCCGTTTGAAAGTACCGAAAATGACAGCAATAATTCAGCCCAAAGTCCTGCGAAGAAAAAATATTTTAATGCTGATGTTTTATAATCGAAAACTGAAACTGACTGCTGATCATAAATCATTATAAGGGAGTATTACAAGCCAAAATTATAAATATATCTAAAATTTGTAATGTGTAATTTCACGAAATGTCTCATGTTCGAAATCGAGACGAAAATACATACAGTATAGAGTGTATTTTTGTATACGTCGCCTTAAATTGAAAAAGTTGCCCTATTTCGAGGGAGAAAATTGTAATGAAAAGGCACTTTTGACGAAGAAATTCGTATTGAGTAGATTTGAAATTCATTACAGGGATTTAAACAAGCAGATTTCAAATAGATTAAATAACGTAATGTTTAATGCGCCTTTTATTAAAATATTTATCTTTTTAGTTAATTTGAAGATATACCTGTACTTTCATAGTGACTAATTATTTTAAAGCATTTATACGAAGTTAATGTTTACAGTATGAATTGAACAGGTATACTTTGTACATACAAGTCGTGCCTCGCTTATTTTAGCTGCCAAGCTGGCTTCGAATTCTGTGTATCAGTTGAAGTATTATTATTTCTCTAGAATGGCAATGTATAAGTGTTATCACAGGCGTCACATAATAAGGCGATATCTATAGTGCTTTTCATATATGTAGGTGACTGTTACCACTCACCACCACCGTCATATTGTTTGCCAATCTAATTACATAAAAAAGGGATAGTGCGATTTTTCTATACGAAGACTTTTCAGATTTATGATCTTTGTACTTTATCAAATCAAATTAAAATAAACCGTTATTTTTATTGTAGCATGTAAATTGATAGTTCATATGTAGAATAAGTACTTCTGTATCTGTTGAGGGAATAAAATAATCGTATTTATGAGTACGAATATATGTATTTGTCAGGGTGGTTTCTATATATTATAAAATATGTCTATAGGTACAGTAAAATCATTACATAAGCTTTGCTTAGTTTGGGACTAGATAACGTTTTGTGAATTGTTCTAGGTGGTTATTATAATAAGTATGTATTTGTTATGGCGACCTATGCAGAGGTCTATTTTTATTTTTGAGCGAAAGATTAATTTTGTCACAGTTCTGCACATCACTTTCTGTTTTCTATTCTTACCTAATGCTAGCAGCAAGAGGATGTTATACGATATAAAGGTTACGTTACATGTACCTACAGAGAAATGTTGTCAAGCATCATTTTATCATTATAGTATTCCATAATGTTGAGGTATTTGGATAGGTTATAGTATTCCATCCTAAGATGTATCGCTTTAACATAGCTATTTATGTAATATCGTTAATATTAATGCTCTGTGCTATTGTCCGCTTGTTATTCATACCTATTAAAATTAATAAGCTTTGACTTATTACTTAATGAGCTCATTGTTCAAAATCCCAGCTCAATATATTCATTAAGAGTCGTCGCGAGAAAGTTACTTGGCATATATCCTGCTCGTACTTACTCGTGTAACTTTATTAAGAGAACATTACTGTTTAGTTATTATATTGTTTCATACTTATAATTTTTTATAATAACTATGATTTTAAAGTCAATCATTAGTTGTTTGAATTAAGTTATATTTAGTAATACCATATAGGTATTAAATATGTTTAATTTATTAGCTTTTATAACATTCTCTTTATTATCCAGAATTAGTATTCTGAAATATGTATGTTCAGACCTACAAAGTAGGTGCTTGACAGATTATATACCAAATGTAGCTGTATTAAATACAAAATCTTAATTTAATCTGTAGTTTAAAAGAAACATAAACAGAAATGGATGTTAAATAATTACGACGTAACACGTAATCCACTAAGTGTCAGAGTTTATTTAAACACTAGATTTCCGCAAAAAAGCTGGATTTGTGTGAGAGTATTTATACTTTCCTCTTTGTGAACATCTATTACTTACTTGAGAGGTTCTTCGAAAAGAGCGAAAAAATGGGTTTCGTATTCTTAGGTTTAGTGGCACTTTGAAAGGGTAGAGCATTTAACATGGAAGAGGTTCCCCTTACCCATATATGTACGTACCTAATGAAAGGTAAAATTTAGCAAATTTTTATCTTCCAATAGAAAGCATACAAGAAGTGTTCATTTCATTTTTATTTTTAAAATTAAATCTATATTTTAATTTATTTTTTTGTCTCCAGCTTAAAGTTTTAAGTAAGTATTCAACTTACATAAAACTTTATTGAATTACGACATATTTATGTTAAGCATTTTACTATGTATACCTATTATGTTTTAAATATGGCTGCAAAAAGTTACATTCTCCTCAATGAACTGTATGCTTCAAGTGCATATTGATCCTACTGGCACTTGTTGTGATATATTAAAGAAAAACGTATGTTTACATATAATTTGAAGGTTTGCATATTCTGGTTAACTAATTGAATGCCAGATATGTATGAAATATGTATTTACCACTATATAGAGAGCTTTTTGGCAGGTATAATATACGGAATCGAGAAATGGAGTTATAGATAAAAAATCCATGCATCGATTAGAACTCGTATAGGCAAATCGCTCGGGGACTTATGGAGCGCTACTCGGTGTTTTGTGAGGAATAATATACGTATATATAGAAAAACCAATAAATTCAACGAATACGAAAAAAATACAGTTACCTACGTGAAAACATGTTGGAATACCTTTGATCCGTCGAACAAAGTTTATTTGGGTCGTTATTGGGCCGATAAATACCAAATAATTAAAATATTTTTTAAATTGGAACGTAATTAAAATAAATAGAGATATAAGCTAAGTATTTTTAATATAGGTTGCATAGTAGAGTCTTGTACACCAATATATAGCTCTCAAAAGGCTGTGAATCGACTCTAATCCACACTAAAACTTTGTGTCAATTTTTTTTTCATTTCTCTCTCTGATGATGGAATATAACAAACTTCGATACATGATGATAAAGTTTGCTACCTGTTATAGGGAATACAAATATATCTCAGCGAAATTGTGGGTATGACATGTTTACAGTTCGACGTAGGGTTCGACGACGGTTTACAATGTCTCTGCTTTCGCCATCTGGTATTAAAGTCGTTAGGATGTGTATGTTACTAAGCTACTTAAATCAGTGTTATCTAATAGATTTACATATAACGATTAACAAAACTTTTATATGTATATATTCATTTATTCTGATTTTGTTGGCAGCAGTAAGCTTTTATATTCACCGGACGCAAATGGAGGCGACAACTACAGAGGCATTACAAACCTGGAATTACTTATGGAACGCCTAAAGGCCAATTCCTAACTGATGAATGGGACTTTAGTTAGATGGCACTGCTAGGGATTCGAATCTCGGCTCAGGGCGTCGTAATTACGCTCCCCATTAGAATGGGACAGGAGATCGATCGGAGGGGAGTTAACGGAGAATGTATAATAAACGTTTTTGTCTATGCTAATACTACCGTATGTAATTATGTCTCATAATACTTACCGCAGGTTTCCCGTCGAAGGCCTTTGTCGTTATTGTCGCTATCTTCTGTGCGCTTCTCGTCGGTTTGTGGCACATTGTTATTATTCTGCAAATACTTATTATGTGAGCATGCATGAATCTTAAATCGTTGACAACAATGGAATTATCTTGTTCTATGTGGTTACGCTTTCGTTGGGAAATTGACTTGTGTGTAAAATGACGTTAGTATAGTTCACTAGCTATTGTATAATATGTAGGTGCCTTGAATATGTGCGTGATAATGTAAATTATCTAATGTCACACTAAATTTGACTATTTGCTTTACTGTTTCCCTAATGTATCTATTGAATATATGATTTATGTATGAGTATCTATCTAACTAGGTTCGTAAAATATCCTCGACTCGGTATTACTACTCGTGACAAGAAGATTATATTATATATACGTTTAATATTGCCGTGCGAATCAAAAACCTATATATTTAGTTTCTTTGGGAATTGGTGATAACAAAGAAAAACATATGATGAGAATATTAAGATAATTCAAACGTTATGTTCACTAGAATAGCAACAATTATGATAGTAAGTGACCGACATAGTAAGCAACATCAATTGCAAATGTCATCAAAGTGCGTTTAGTTTTTACAAAGTACCTAATCCCGTGTTGTTGCTTGTTTTTGAAAAATAATTCGAATTTGAATCGTATTGAAAATCCTTTTGGTTGATGGTTTAAAATGAATGGAATTTACTTTAGTAAGTAGTAGTAGTATTGTATGTGAGGTCTAATAAATTATTAGATAGGCAGATTTCATAATCTCTTTTATTTGGTACCCTAATTGGACACTAGTTATTTTTGTATTCCTTACGCTCAATGGCACGGAAACTAGCCTCGGTTGAAAGAACCATCGTCCTTTGATAAAACCTTGCCTTGTATCTATATTTATATTCACATTAAAACAACAAAATCTTAACCTTTGGATGCATGAATACGTGAATATATTTAATTTCAGTGGCTTTACTCATAATTATGTAACGCGTTATTCTCTCCCTGTTCTGTGACATTTTAATAATCATTTGGTCATATTAAAATATAGGAATGATTAAGTACGTCGCGTAAATAATCTCTGTAATTTCTATTTATGTAAATTAAACATTTATGGAAATCTTATAAGTAGTCAAAAAAATGCATTGCTTTTTTTATGATTTTTTTATATCATTCAGGTGGAAATTTATATGTGATTTCAGTACGCGGTTAAAGCAGTCTGCATTCGTTTGCAAGGGCGAAGTGGAGTACAGTTCATCTTATTTAGTATGCATTGTTTAAGAGGCTAGAAATATTTCATGCCAAACAAGTATAAGATTCTAAATATATTTAGTTGCGTATTGAGACGTCAGTCCAATACGCAACTAAATATATAATATACAAAAATAAATATACAAAATGATTTTGTTAGATAGATGCGTCTGTTAGAAATGTAAATATTAACAAGTAGGTTTATAGGTACTAAATGCTCATTTGTCCAGAAACGAGTATGCAGATCATATGCTGGTAGATATACAGGCACTTTCAAAGCAATAAGCTTGTCATTATTGTATGCCGGACAGCGATTAATAAAAGGGACCTCTTTCATCAAACGGGGAATTTGTTTGCTGTTGCTATATTTGTACTCACGATTTTCAGCAGAATAAAGTGAAAGTGAATACAATAAAGTACTATTTAACCTACTGTCAAAAGTAGGGAGTTCTCAATTGTAGACACAACTGATTTATTACAGCAATGCACCTTTATAACTAAAATTTTATAATCTAGAGATTCCAAGATTTCATCAATTAACAACAATTCAATTTAATTATGCAATTCTATAAAATATTATTGGTAAGTATCATCGTTATTCATTACTTACACTAGTATAAATCCATTTACAGTACTCTATCACTTCAGAAAGGTTGACAGGAAGAGAATGCTTGTAGCAGTAAGTTCGCCTTGTATACGCTATATTTATACAAAAAAATGAGTATGTATATTTTTGGTGTACCAACAGTTTTCTGAGTGGTGTCATTATGGGCCAGCTCAAGGTCACGTGCGGCCGCCGCCAGCTGATACTTCCTCTCCAAGTAACCCTCGAATAGTGAAGCTGCCAGCATCAGAAGGAATATTGCGCTCATCACTGTCCTGTGAAGATGTATTTTTTTAATATGTATAATAAATACCGAGATGAAATGACCCGAGAAAGGTCCGTTAGTCGTAACAAATCCCCTCTTTTCTTGGGTCACGGATTTGATACTCGCATTAGAACAACATTTTCTCCGAGTAAGAAAACACTTGTTACCGCTCTTTTTCATATATCTAGATGAACAGAGTACATCACACCAATGCAGGAGAAGGATAACTCGTGATAAAATAATATACCGAGTCTCTAGCGTGAATTATGTTAGTAATAAAAGCTACGTCACTTCTGAGTAGTGTAAGCTATATATTTTTTTATGTCGGTTTCGTAATGTGCTTGGACAATTGTACAACAAAAAGCTAGTAAAATAAAAACTTATTAACTTCTAAAACATTACAACGGAGATTATAACACACAGATTGAAAATTTAATATCATAAAAATAACAATTGTATCATATATAGTTAATTTCATTTTAAGTACCTATAATACAATTATATATATTTAAAATAGGGGAATGGATAGTGTTCATACATTTCTTCAACCTTTCTCGTAAAGAAAAAGCCTGTGTAAAGAAGTCCAAGCATAAGAACAAAGTTCCGGGATATGGCGAGATTTTCGTAACTACAAGATTTTCGTCACTGTATGTTCTTATGTATTTCTACTATTCACTATAAGTATAGTTTATGGTGCCCTGGACAATACAGTTCTTTTTTGTACATGGTGTTATTCAAGTCTGAATGTCACGGCATTTTCACTTCATGTATGTTTTTATGTTATTTACTAGTATAAAAAACAATATTATAAAATAATATATATTATAGTCAGAGACATTGCCAACTGTCGACATTCTATTAAAAACAACATTTAATGCGATCACATTTTGTTATATTTGAAAGAAACCACTGTGCAAGGGGTTACCATCGTCTCGGATTATATTTCGATTTGTTATCGGTGTTTCTATAAGTCGGAAATATCTACTTATAATAATATGTATAGGTCAGATACACCTATCTTATATGCATCGAAACAGAGTATATTTTGTTTAAAAAATACGTTAGTGCCTTCTGTTATACCTACTACACTGTACACTACGCTATATAAAAGCAACGTGCCTTTTATATCTACGAAAAAATGTAAGAGGAATAAAAAGCAAAATATAAAAGTTTACGTAGCGAGTCAATGGTAGTACTCTTTTCACGTGATATTCATGTTAACACAGGCAAGCTCATAGAAAATTGTGTTATCCTACACTTCACAAGTGTAGGAGTTAAAGCATTATTCTACTCGTAAATGCCATGCGTATTAAAATCTCAGAATTTAAAATACAAATTACATATGACATATACATGAAAAACGAATGGGTCGAACATTCCTTAATTCTATTATAAATGTAGCAAATATAAATAGTTAATCAATTACAGTTTGTTATAGCAAAAAAATATTTGTCGACTCACTCATTAATGCCAAATATAAATGTAAATATTACGACTTCAGTCTTGTTCCGAAAGAAAGTATGAAGATACAATTTTAATTCAATATGTTAAGATACTAGAAATTACAACAAACGGGTATTGATATTTCTTACAAGTGTTTATTTTTAGCCAATTTACATAAAAACTCAAAAAAAAAATTAATATTAAAAAAAAACATATGAATTCATCACTTACATGAGTGCGTAAAATTTGTAATCAGACAATAGGGAATACGCGCCAGGAACCTTTCGTATGTCGGACGTGTGGATAGCGCCAACAAAGCCTGCAGCTGTAGCGCGCGCCCCCAACGTCTTCTCGGCGCTAGCCAGAAATATCGCTACAGCCTCCGAGTTGCAGGAAGCTGGCAGACATTCTCCGAGTAATGACAGCCTGGCCTGTACCACACACAGGAACAAAAGATCACTTTAGTCGCATAATAGGTACTCAGTCAGCGATTTTGTTGATTTTTGTGGGTTCGCATTAGCGTTTAAATGTTCAAATGTGTTCCACTGTTGTTTAGTTACTTTAAAAATATTAGACTTGTCACTCGTTCCAGTGATTAAATTATTGTACTATTGCGTATATTTTTTATCAGAATGTTCTACTGTTACTAAAACCTTTTAATTCTAACAGAAATTCGGAAGTTAGTCTCAGCAATTTAGTAAGGCTCTTCCTTCCATTCACCCTCTCGCTTGACCTCCCCGCCAACTTATACTGTATTGACAGAATCACGGAAACGTACCGTTTTATTACTACTCTTGTTCCAGTATGTGGTATATCGTACAGTAGTCCTAAAACTTATGATTTTGATATTTCAGTCAAATCGTCTGTACCATAAACTGATATATACCATACGGATCAGTGTACGGTGTACCATACTGCGGATGCAAAACAAAATCGTCGGTACTAAAAGTTTCACTTGCAATAAAGGCTCTTTATTTGTAAGATTAATAAAAACCTAGTAAGCACATTTTATCATACATTTTTTGCTGTGTGTATGATTGATATATATATACTTAATATGACTTAATAATGTCAAGATAGAGATTGATATATTTTGATTTTAAAATACCTTCAGGTTGAATCACTGGAAAAAAAAGAGACCGAAAGACACAGTTTCCTATTTATATATATATATATATATATTATGTATACTGTTTGAAACTGACATCCGGTATGGGTCGCTAGAGTTCATTAGAAGTGAAATAAATACCTACCCTTAATTTAGATAATTGCAGCAGATCATATTCGAATTGATAACTTCGTGCATAGGTAAACTCAATTGGGCTTATTTACTAATCGAGTACTTACACTGTTCTATATTAAATCGTGAAATGTTTACAAACTGTACATATTTTCATTTATGTGTTACCTCATGATTTTTAAGAGTTCGCGGACGTATAAGACGAATTACATTTCGAAAATCTTTACAGATACTTTTTGAAGGATAGTAGTATATAAGATACCTCTTATTGTTTATGTAATGAAGCATCTTATGTCAGTCATGTCACAAAGAGAAACACTCCACTAAGTACATTTAGATGGTGATAAAGATTAAACTTTCAGACAAAGTTCATATCGACGGAAATTCGTGGCCGTGAAATTTTGCCGCGAGAATGTAGTGAAACTTTTATATGAAGAGTTGCGTGACTTTGTGATAATATTCTTGTCACACACAGTATTAGTGTTACGCGTGTAGTAGTTGTAATAAGGAAATGTGAGATTTACTTGAGGTAGATGATCTCCGTCGAGACTGATGTTCACTTTGGCCACGTAGAAGGTGGTGGCAAAGGGTGGCGTCTGTGCGTAGTACTGTTTCAACTGCAAGTCTCGACACGCGTTTTTGGATCCCACCCAAAAGTCACTCCCGAACATCACGTTGGGAATGTACTGGCCAGAAGCATCATATACTGCAAAAAAGAGAAACACTGTTGAAAATAGCAATAATGCACGGTGACTCAGCAAAACAAAAGTGCTCGTCACGCAGACATTCTAATATTTGCGGTATAATACGTGTGTCAAATGTCTCAAGAAAACAAATAATAGAAAGTGTATGTCCGTCACTACAAACAATAAATAAAACATTAGTAGTTAGTAATTTTCTTTCTTTCTTTCTAATTGTTCTCAGATCCATCCTTAATAAAATACTGTGGTACCATCATTATGTTAGATTGTCTAATAATGTCTATTTTCCTTCGAACGCGTCGACTCGTCGTTTTCCTTTCCCGTGGGATTTTACACGTGTTTCTTAGTCTAAATATGAATTTTTTAACTTGAAAATATGATGGAGCGTCTATACAAACTTTAGCCTGTTATTTCAGTCTCTAAGGGAATGATTTTTGTAAGAATGCTCAAATAGGTTTTGTTTTGCTTTAATCTAGAAATTGAAGTACGGTTTTAAATTGTGACTATTCAATTCAAAATGTATATTTTAACCTGTTTGTATACACATTTTACTTCTTTAGCCTAAAATTTGATTATAAGTTTTCTTACTAGATGACTATAATTTAAAAATTAATTATTAGTAAATTTCAAGTATCAGACCCTCGTGATTTTTAGGTTTTGCATTGATATGTCAGACAGATAGTTTCTCTTTTGGTAATAAACATGTAAGTCATTTATTTGCATTACAGACAGATATAAATAAATAATTAAGCCACAGTGATATTAGCATTGCATTGCACAGGCTGCATTGTAATATGCCTTTTCACATTAATGTTTAACAACAAAAAAATATTATTATACTGTTTTTACAATTATAACTATTATTGTTGTTGATCTTGATGTGATGTAAAGATTATAATAATAAACAACTTGATAAATGATATTCTTTAAATATTAGGAGATAAGTTCATCAGTTTCAACGTCATAAATAACATAACTAAATATAAATAGGAAGCTACGAAATCTGCGAAACATGATTTATTCACAAATGAACGAATTAAATGAAACCGCAGGCATTTATTTAATCTCTGTGTTTATACTTGGTGGCGGCAGTGTTTACGACCGCGAAATAGCATTTGTTGTTTGTTTCATTTTATGTAGTTATCTACTGGCTAATAAACTGTTATAATAGGTATAGATATTAAACATTACGATTGGTTTTATTGGAATGAAAACAAAACATAATTTAAGGTAGTTTCCTGCTACATTTGCCAAGTGGAATCGTTTACTTATCATTTGAATGATTTTTTTTGGAAATTTTAGAACCCGTAGGTAATTTTAACGTATTTACATCTTAATATTTTGATCGCGTAAAGTAGAGATTTTTTACTCATTCTTTTATTATGTAAAATCACAATAGAGTTCTTCTAAGAGGAACTCACAACGTGGTCCAAAAGTGACTCGACTCACCTACAACATATAATAATTTTAAATTTCGCCAATTATTTAAAAAGAATAATTGAAATCTATTCCGTTAATTTCTAAGATCCGGTGGCAAAGAAATTTTTGCTGTTTTTTGTCATAGTGTTTATTTTTAGCTAATTTAATTTTAAATTATTTTTCTTAGCGTGACATTTCAGCCCGAACGATACCTATATTACATGTATCAGATTGAAAAATTTACCCTCCGACGAGCCCTTTCAACTTTTTTCAATCTAATATTTGAGATTCCCGAGTAAATACGTTCAGTCAAGTCTCATTAAAATTATGTAGGAATACATCCCAGCCTGCCAGTAGTCTATTTATAACACGGTATGGTATAAAAAAAAAGATTACAAAATGTAATGTGTCGGTTGAACCGATAGGATTATTTAGAAAGTCACTCAAACTAATTTTGGAACTGATAATTCAAGGCTCTGGAATGCTTTTTATCTATTTTTAAGATATTTAGCAATAACGTGAACGCCGTCATAGAGTGTTGTTTAGGATTTGAATAGAATACTGATTCATTTAATTTATTAGTATACCTAATTATCCAAAGTTCTGTATAATATAACAAACCATTCATATATTATTAAACCAACAAATAATACTTAATTACTTAACTTTATAACAATTCTCGATTGACCAGCTTATTTCAATTTATGATTAATGTTAAGGTGCCTACGACTTCATCCAGAACATGTCAAATTGGCCTCATCAAATTTGAAATTCAATCGAAAATTTATGAGGAAATGTTCAAATGTCGAATATTGCCCTCCGACTCTATGTAGATGCTTTAAAGCCTCTACACCCATCGTAACCTAATGACAAATTTATGAAATAAAAGAATAAATATTACTTTCCTCAAAATAAATACCGTTACTGTTTCATAAAGCGGAAGAATAGAACAGGATTTTAACATGGCTGAGTGCATTAGCAGACTTAATGGATCCTCACTGAGGCATTCCGAAATTTAACGAATGCTAGTATAAAAATAAAATTGAAACAAACGTGCTAACAACTTTTACAGTTGGACACACAAGGATTTTTAGATGTATTTTATATACAGTTGTCTGTATGGTAACAGTTGAATTGGTTGATAAATAATTCTTCCTTGTTAAATATCTTCCTATAACAGTATAGAAAGTTAAGAGTTTAGTTTGTTATGGGAGCTCAATGGGCATTGATGGATCAGTAGCGATACTAGCTAACCATTGTGTGAGGTTTCACGCAGCGTAAACATCAAACGAAAATTAAAGCTGACGGCTTAATGTGCTACACAATACAGCCTGTCGTTTTTCGTATGAGATTATGCTCGTGTTGTCGACTATTTAACTACACCTACTTACATAGTATGTTTACGCGGAGGGTTGCACAATTTCTCAGATTTATTACATCCTACATTTATTAATTTTTTGAGATATTACTTTTCAAGACAAGGCTTTCTTTCCTTATGTTACGGTTTATTACAAAATGGCTCACTAGACCGTATGTGCGAAATGTAACAACGCAATCTCGGTACTTATTCTTTTTATAGAACCTAACCCCGATACTGTAAAAGGGTCCGTTAATCTTTTTATTAGCTTTAAGCAATAAAACGACGTACTAAATAATGTATACAAGGGTACTTTTGTCGAAATCAATCTCCACGGGGCGACTTTGATTGCATTATTTTTTACTAACTGGTTTCACGGTTTTGCCCATATTGGTAAAATAATTTGACTCGTAGTTTATTAATTTGAAAAAGTACATTGCACGCGATTATTGTCAGTTTTATTATACATGTTTTGATATATTTAGACTTTGTAGGTAACTATTAAACTATTTTTAAGATAAAGTAGTATACAATTTATCGCACTAGTTTCTATTGTAAAAAATGTCATTCTTCTAGTTTTAGTCGAGTTCGTTGGATATATCTGGACTCATATTTTTTTCTTTTTGTATATATATAATTTTAGACAGAGTAATCGGGGAGTGATATTTAGATAATAGGGACAATATAGAAGTTACGGACAATGTAGTAAGTTAGCTACGTTAACCCAATTACCGTTAGATACATGTAAAAGTCATGATGATTATATTTTAATTATCAATCAAATTATAATATGTTAAATATAATATGATTAGTCTGTAATATCGAAACGCACAGATCGAAATAATACACAAATTCACAATAATGACGTCTATTTCTCGAAGGTTTATGTCTAAATATAAAACGTTAACTTTATTACGTAAAGGAATTACTGAACATTAAAGATAGTAAAAGGTGAACAAGGTGCAATACAGCAGATTAGCGTTTGTAAATTAAAATATGATCGCAATGAATCCCAGATGAATACAGAATCTCAGCTGTTTAGTATCATGTACAATGAAGTGTGGAGTACAGTAACAATAGAAGTATTTGCTGTTACAATATTGTTACATAATATCTTGCTTACGTCTTGAATAAGGTTTAGAGCTTTATTCACCATTCTAGCTCAATGTGAATTGTTTATACTATTACAGTGTTCATGTTTCGTAGTAAGTGATTATTATCCATCCAAGGGTTAACCACATTCAACATCTCTTGGTTCCTTTGAAAGATAATAACTACTACGACCTAAGCCGGGGTTGTTAGGCAAATAATGACTGCGTAATCATAATTCCCTATTCAAATTTAATATAGGCCACTTCTATTCTATCACGCAAAGGGTAAATGTGTAAATGTCGCCTCCCAATATATTACGCTATCTTTTTATGTATACACGATGTAGGAACTGTCCTCTACCTATAGATATATGTTTATATACATAAAAATGTGGTTATTTTTACTTATTATAAAGTTTTAATCATTTATTGATAATAAATTGTTTTCAGTGAAAAACTCTATTAGAAATACTCTATGTGTACTCTATTAGAAGTACTCTATCTTTGAGTTGGAGTAGCTACTAAGGGGCTATTTTCTAACTATAAAATAGTTAAACAGCAGGTAACTATTATTAAATCTATGGCTCAATGGATACAAAGCTAACATTTAACGTAGATAATTTAATAAGCAAGTTTCTGCTTTCCATTCCAGCTTACGGAATTTCAATACTCCTGAGAGAACCATAAGCTACTGTATGATATTTGAATATATAATATTATGCAGATACAACTTGCATATCTAAAATCCCAATGTATTTACCAGTAGTTTCTTACCAGTATTTTTATGTTAAGAATGTTCGATATATTAGGTAATAGATCCTAAACTGGTCAACTAACAATATGGAATGTATTTTGCTATGAAACTATTAAAAAATGAGTTTCAATATAGATAAATAGAATTTTAAACAAAATGCAAACTTGTTGGTTGCAGATCACTTTACTGTTTGCAGTTCACAAATCTCTCTTTTAAATTGATTGAACACAGAAGTGAACTAGACTAGATTAGTCAAATTATGGGTGATTTATAATTGTGTACAAGTGTAATAATAATAACTGTACCTATATTTAATTTGATTATTAATTTTCATCGGACACGGTGACTCTATCAAAGGTTATAGTTAAGGCACTATATTAAGGT